ACCAATTACAATATCATGGTATTTTATGTGCATACATTCAGTAGTGCCCTTTTATGATACTTCCTTCGAAGCTCTATCCAGGCGTGGAAAAATCTGAACTTTTGCGAAAACTTCGGGAGACATTTTTCTCTCAAATTAGTGTAATACATATGTATGTACGTACATAGATGCATCGAGTAAACAAATATTTTGGATTCGCCTAGGCTTCAGCGACAAAACTTCCTTTTTTAAGGGTGATATAGCTCCAGATGTCGAATTCGATACGTCAACATTGAATTCGCAAATCACTCAACGACTGGACACAACCACAGACCGACTCAGAGTTATAACTCAGGTATGACATACCTGCTACTCTGCTCATTATTTAATTTTTCTTATTTACCCCTATTTAAAGAGGCGAAAGTTGGATAATGTGTAGTTAAAACACAGAAGAAATAAATATTTTCTTGATCAGTCTCTTCAAGACGCGCCGTGTACAAAGCTTCTGTTTGGATTGAAGGGGCTCAAAATTGGAATGTAGTCTTTTCTACTAGTAGCTCCTTCTGCTTCGGAATTAATCTAGTCTTTGAAAACACGACGATTATTTTTAGATGATTTCCACATTTTTTTCAGGTTCTTGCTGATCTAGCCGTTGATATCCATGCGTTCAAAGATCGGCAATGCGCCATAGTGATCTGATGACTACCAAAATCATCTCTCACATTGATCTTTCTATACCTAGTATATCGTTCATTGAACTGGTCACTAGTATTGTACAAATTAGATGTCTTTGTGCGGAAATCCTTTCTTCGTTCAGATTTTTGCAAGGATTCACTAGAGTTTTGTAACCATTCGACCCTAGCAAAGCAGTGAACAAGCTGAATCGGTGGAGAGTAACGTGGCGCACTATGACACGCATGGGATGGGGATTGATACCCGAACCGATATCCGCGCAAAAGCTGAGCCTTCCATCTCTTGGGGTCGGCGAATTGGTACCATACTTATTCGGGAGGATAAAAAAGTAATCTTTTATGTCGGCTGGGCATCGCAAGTCGTGATTAGGACACATACGCATTGAAAACATCACTAGGGTCCGTATGGAACTTTTGATGGGGAGAAGGTCCCAGAATTGAGCCGGATAAAGCCAAAAAACTTAGTCTTTCTATGCATTGTAATATTGTTGGCAGAGTTTTATGAAACTTAGCGCTCTTTCTCTTTGAGCATTATCGTTTTTGTTCTGGAGATCGTTGTTTACTAGTAAGGGGTCCAGCATATCCCTTATCTTGAGCCAGAGGCGGTGAGACCACCCAGAGCAACCCTAGGTAAAAAAATGGATGGATTGTGGACTTCGTGGATAACTAGTCATTGTGTACCTGCCCAGGAAACCACGTGGCTTTCTGGTATTCCATGTTACAGCTCTATTGAATCCGTCGATACTTTCCGCCCTTCAAAAGGGTATTTTCATGCATAAGTGCGTACTACCTTTACACTCGGATTACATTCGTACTCATTGGATTTCCTCACATTGACAACTTTGATTTTGTGTTTTTGTGAAAATTGTAATTTTTTTCTAGAATTTTCTCTGTAAAACATTGTGGTATTAATTGTTCTTCAACAATCAGTGATGATTCGATAACAATTCTATGGGATTGAATTCATTCTTTCATGAAATCTATCTGTCTTTGACATTGCGAATTATTCGTTCGCACGATATTCCCGTGATTGTAATAAAAGAATTGAAGTTGGGAGTCTCAACACAGTGTATAATCAGTAAGGTCTACTCCAACTATCTAAATAAGGTAATCTGTCTAAGCAGTTTGGCTACCGAAGCATGAGTGACAAACCAATATTTTTAATCACGGTCTAAATCCTGAAAAATGTCAGCACTAAAAATTGTACTTGGTCGACTTGTTGCAAAGTGATATCCGCTTCATGCGTTTTGTTCTAAAATCGTTAAAATCAATCGATATAGTTTAAAGTCACGAAGACGATATTTGTGTCATCTCCCTCACAAATTACCGCCCATTCTGAATTAAATCACTAATGCTGGCAAAGCATGATTCGGGTCCTCCACAATATTACACTTACCCTATTCAGGCCCCTTCCCCAGTGAGAGCTTCTGCTATCCACTTCTGATTTTTTGCAACCCCTTAATATAGAAAGATGATTATGGTGATCTGTTTTGCCCGGGTATGGAAATATTACAGGAACAAGGAGGGAAACGTTTACTTTCAGATTTTTTCCGCCAACTTCAATTAAATGTTTCACAGTTCCAATGCTGTTCACGAACGGAATTATCTTCTTTTAAGTAGGAAGGCTCACTTAAAGTGCGTCTGCGTCACTTTGGTGAGCGTTAGCTAATTTTCTAGCAAACTTGTAGCTCATCTTCATCCATTTTCCCTGGTTTCTATGCTGAATTAAAATCGAATATCAGATTCATTGATTCGGGTGACGTTGACACCAGCACAGATGTATCCACCAGGCTGGTTCGCTTCCAACACGAGTGACCAATAATTATTTCGGCCCACACCCTACCCATCATAGCTCGATTGGACTTTTCCAGGTGTTTCTTTAAGAGGTGCTGATTCCATGACACAAGTTAAAATAAGCACGCACACACCTACATAGTTAGAACATTTTGTAAATGTTCGTGGATTATTTGAGTTGTGTGAGTTACGTATGATTCGGCTGGTCTCTCCATTGTTGATGAAGCCATATTTTTTAGTTTACAATCTTCTTGAAGGAATAAACATCCATTAGGGATTGCTGTAAATGTCAACTACCACGCTTCGCTGTGCTTTATATTTCTTAAAAATACATTCCATCCTGAGCTTTTAAGAAATGAAGCAGGAGAAGCTGATTAGTGTGAGTTCCATCCACAGGTCTTTCAAATTATAATCCCACACCTTGGGTGCCTTCAAGGTTTTGGTACTGAGGCGGTGTGGACGACATAGCCCCGTTGATCCAGAGTCGTTTAATTACCGCTGAATCTGTCTGTGAGCATAAAAACGTAACTTGAACTTCAGCGAAACTTGTATTAATAGAGGTCTGTGAGCTGGTACACATTTCAATCATCTAACGAATCTGGATATTTGTCGTAGCCGTGGTCCTTCAGAGATTGATTAAGAAGGGGCGCTTCACGATTATATCATTAGACTTTTCATTACCGTAGTTTTTTGATTCTTTTGTAACAGCTATTACTCACCGCCTCATCAGCCACCAACAAAAACCATCCTTCCGCCTCCGGGAAACATGCCGGGCACCATGCAGCTGTCCACGCTTTTCGCTATCTCCTTCCAACTTGCAGTTTCTGAGACCCACTTCGAATGGATTCCATGGTGGTTACAGGCAAATCAATCCCTTTTCCTTGATAAAACTTTCGTCGGTAATTAACCGTATTTTCTCCGCGGT